TTAAAGGTTTCGCCTACTCGAGGAGTGAAAAGATTTGGAATCCAAGGGAAGTTAAGCCCAAGATTTATCAGTCCTTTTGAAATTTTGGAAAGCGTTGGTCTAGTGGCGTACAGATTAGCATTACCACCATCCCTGTCTGGAGTACATGATGTATTTCACATATCGATGCTTCGGAAGTTCATCCGAGATCCAAATGACATCGTTGAGTTGTCTCCAGTGGAGCTTAAGCTAGACTTGACCTATGAGGAAAGACCTAAACGTATTGTCAATTATAAGGAACAAGTGCTTAGGCATCGAAGAATCAAATATGTAAAAGTTTAATGGAAGAATCACTATGAAAGAGAAGCCACCTAGGAGATGGAAGATTCTATGCGAGAAAGATATCCAGAACTCTTTCGAGATATATTAGGTGGGGAGAGTGTAATAGCCCAGAAAAAAATAACATATAAAAATGATAATATAAAAAAATATATAAAATAAAAATATAATAAAAAAAGAAAGATAGAGAAGTTACTAGCCTGAGTTGTCCTGTTTACAACCCTTGGAAAATCGTTGGCCTATTTTTATTGGAAGCAAGGGACGATACAAATAAGGTGTTCATTTGTTGTTAACCCATGAAAACACCACCCCATGAAATCCTATCAGCCCAGAAACCATCTGTCCTTCTCTTTCAACTTATCTCCTATTTCCAAATCGTAAACCACGCAAGTAGGAGAACAGAGGAATAGGAGAGGAAAAGAAGAAGAAAAATTGATCAGCAACACAAGTCCAAAATCAATTATGGTATAACACAATCCTCATGATTATCTGAAATTTCTTGATTTAGAAGAGTAAAATTGTTATAGAGATCTAATAAGATTGATGTTTTGATATTTTGCTAAAGGATTGTGTAATTACTTTTGTAAATAAAGGAAATAATAATAATAAGAAAGAAAAATACTAACCCTAGTTTCGACGAGGATCTGACCATCGGCTCCTCCTAGTCGCCGGCGATCCCCTGCCGCGGTTCTGGTGCTTTGGTGAGACAATGAGAGGAGGCGCAGGAGGCGGTCGTGCCGACGGGTCGCGGAAGAGGGAGAAAGAGAGAGAGGCAGAGGGAGAAACTGAGGGGGGGGGGATGAAATGAAATGGGAAAAAAATAACGGGGAAGAAGAAATAGAGGAGAGAGAATGAGAATTAAAATTAATAAAATAGCATAATTTTTCTTAGGACCCTAGAAAGATTTTAGGTTGTATATAAGTCCAAAGATAAAAAGGACTGGAAATTCTTTATTAGGCCCCTGTTATTTACTCTATTTGCAAATAAGTCCAATCTGAGGAATAAACAATAACTTTAGACTTGATAAATTCCCTACAACCCCATGCATTATGATAAATTACTAGGAATTCCAAAAGCTAGTATATGAGAGTTATAAAATTTTGATAAATTGCTAAGGTTAGCAATAAACCCATGTGTATTGCAGAATTTAATTATTATTGATTATGCTTGAATTTATTAGACTTTAGATTATGAATTGATTTACCTTATAATATATGTTTGTCCTGAAGTAGTAATTAGTCATATATCTTATATTATAGGATCTGGTTGATATTCAGGAGGATAATATTTTGGGGAAGTCGTGTTCGCTTAAGGTGAGTTCATTTCTCACTAGTATTTTATAATATAAAATTGCATGAGTATTATATTTGATTTATCTTTTGATCGAAAATAAATAATATGTAATTTTCATATATATAAAGATTTAACCTATTTTTGTTGTACTCTATCCTATAAAACAAGGTTAGCCTCGTACAATATATAAAAAGAATTTTTTTATGTAAAATAAAAATAAATAAATAAATTTGGATCTCATGCAATTTTCAAATAATTGTGGGCATTATTTTATCTAAAAGTTTTTGATGAAGTATTTGGAATGTGTTTCAACAGTTTAACGGATTAAAAGATTTTCCGTGACTTAGTAACTAATAAAAAAAAGTAAATATATGTAAACTGTTTTAACTGAAATGAGGAGCTTTACCTTGTCAACTTCATTTGAAAACATATTTGTAAATTCTGATATGCAAAATATGACTCATTTGACATGTGATCTCGAAGTTTTCAAACCCTCAAACAGTCCACTATGGATTGTTTCTGCCTGCCATATGGTGAATACACCTTTATTTGGCCCCTCTGTATTGGCCCTTCTGTATTGACAAAATTTGTTCTGGCCCCTCTGTATTTGGCCTGTAACCTATGGTAGTGTTAGGTGCATTCGATTCTCGAGAATTATCTATCATGTGATGCGTTTTACGCATTTCCTTGCTACTAGGCTATAATTCGTAGCCTTAGTGTGAACTATGGGGTGACTTTTACATTCATGAATAACTCATCGAGTATTAAGATTCTGATAATTAACTGTGAAATTGAGAAAACAATAATTCTCTGGTTTTGTACAAATTAGTAGTTCTTTTTCGTTTTAATGTTTACTTTGATTCAAAAAGGGTTTGATTTCAAGAAACTTCACAGTATATTCAGTTGCACATAAGAAAGAAAATATAATTGTGGTATTCTTTCTTAAAGACGACAATATTATGATATTTGGATCGTATTTTTGCTCTCTTTGAATTTCTCATGCAAAACTTGTAATTCGTTATTTCTGAGAATTATTCTTATTACTATTTTGTTAGTTATCTAGGAACTCTAGTGGAAAATGTTCTCACTGAGTGCTAGCTCACCCCGTAGTTTTTAAAAAAAAATTTCAGATCCAGCGTAACTTCATACTTGCTGAACTTTTGATTTTGGGCTTTTGGCTGAGAGGCGTTATATGGAGAGCCTCTTCTTTTGATGTTATCTTCCGTACAATTTGTTTTGTTTTGTAAAAAATGCTTATAACGGTGAACTTGTGGGCTGTAAGTACCGATTATATACATATATATAGTTGCTCCGATTTCTATCATTAGTAGGTTTATGAACATTTTGAGATAAACTATGTGATATGAAGTGCCAGGCTTGACCCGTGCATAAAAATTATCTCGTGCACGGGTCCCTGCTGTCGCGCACCCCGCATTTACGAATTCCCACTGTAGTTTCGGGGCGTGACAAATGTGGCTCATTACAAGCGCTTGGTCGATCTGTTATGTTGAGCAGGGCAGTTAGAGGAGGCCTACAGGTTCATGGAGACAATGCCCATGCAGCCTAATGCAGTTATTTGGCAGACTTTGCGGGTGTGTGCAGCGTGAAAGGAGATTTTAGAATTGGAAATATCCCGAGCAAGAGATTGTTAGTTTTGGAGCCTGAGAGTGCAGGTGACGGTGTCATGATGTCGATTGTTTATGCAAACGCACGGAAGTGGGAAGAGAAATAACAGGTGAGGAGGAAAGAGAGCAGATCTCTTGGTTGTAGTTTGATTAAGGTTGGAAGTAGAATCCATGAGTATGTCGCTGGAGATAGGAAGTAGGTGAAGATGACCGAGATTTGGCGAGCTCTTGAGGCAATGGTACGTTGCGCTAAGGACATGGACTGTTAGTTGCGTGCTCAACTAGTTTAAAGGACTCTCACTCCAGTGTAAATTACATTATTTAGTTTTAGAAACTGTTAGAATATAAAACTGTAATACTCAATTCTCACAACTTTGGAGTTGTGGAGCAATTAGTTAGAGGGACTTTGAGATGGTATTATAGCGTTACGGATTTTAAGACTAAATTGTGTGCAAAAAAAATAATTTGCTGTTATTTGATTCCCACGTGATATTTCATATGAGGATCAAGAGTTAAATGTGAATAAAGGAGAGGTATGAATGTTATGATAAGAAAAATGAGACAAATGAACATTCAACACCATTCATAAATAAATTTCTACAAGAATCCAACCGTAGAAATCAGTTTCTTCTTTATCAAAGTGAATTTTCTTACCGTCTAAGCTCTAACCTAGTACAAAGATTATCGATAAGCTAACGAAACACTGCTGGCAACATACCTTGAAATGGAAACAATTATCCCTTATGTCCAAAAAGAATTAATTACATGTTAACGGCAGCAAAGATTCAAAATGATACATTTTCAACCAGAGTCTAAAGATTCTTAATGATATATCCCACTGCATCCCTGTACTTGTCCCACAAGTCCAAAACCATCTTCTCAATCATCTCCGACACCCCCTCAAATGCCTCTGGGAATATCTCGGCCAATCCGTCAAGTGCATTCTTCATCTTCTCCGCGAGCTCCATGACTGCCAAGGCTGTGAGGCTGATGGAACCAGTTGCAGTACCGCTCACAAGTTCGATTCCATTGGAAACAGCAGACAGAAACACATTTTTAATTAGCTCCAAGACACTCTCCAATGTTACCTTCAATAGACTCGCAATGAGTTGCAGAGCTCCTTCGATGAGCACAGATGGGACTCTGACCACTTTGATCAACAACACAATGAGAAGGGCTACTATACGAAATATGACTAAAGTTGCTAGGCTTGTTAATGAGCTCAGAGCAGAGAAAATTAGTTTTAGCAGGAGAAGTGACATTATAATTTGTTAATGAGCAGGAAGAAGTTTTGATGTCAACTGTAATATATATTTTGATTGTTGTTAGCCTTGGCGTGCAAGCGTTCAGTTGATTTCCCTTTGCGCAATAGCTTATGTGGCTTATTCAGGACATAAAGACTCCCCCTCACATTTCATCAGAAACATTGAAATAATTGGAGGATATTTCTAAACGATACATTGGATGTCGACAGAAAAATGGGAAACGTGGGGTCCTCCCTCTGTTTCTAAATAATTGACTTAAACCAGAAATAGCTTCCCTCGCGTCAGTTCAGTTCTCATTCTAAAGTATTTGGCTAACAGTCAAATGTGAACTTCATAAACAATTTCAAAGATGATTATTCACCGCATCAACAATGTAAAACTTGTAAAGGCGCAGAGGACTCATCTTATTTACATGTCGAAGTTAGCCAGGTTCATCTCTATTACTCTTAACGAAATACAGTAACACAATTGGTACCAATATACAAATATAGATGCAAAATTAGTTGTGACCAAGAAATTTCACCGTCATATTTAACAAACACCAAAGTTTATGTTACATTGCACTCTTTTTCCGTAACTACATAAATTTTTCAGTTCTCCTTCAATCTGTACACAGAATCAACATATCTTTCCACATCCCATAGAAAAGTCCCAAATGCCAGCGCCTCCATCACCAACCTTCTCAATCCCAAATCTGAAACCGTGATGACCTCACCACCATTACCATCGTATTTGTCAGGATAACCAAATAAAGCTGCGGTGTGTTTCTCAATTAAGTTAGCTGCTTCTTGAGATCTCAGCTTTGCACATAGTTGCAGTGTCTTTGAATCAAAGCTCATCATATAACCCCTTAGCTCATCAGAGTATCTAAGCGCGACCAAATTCTCCTCGTTTTGATTATTTTGAAACAGAGGAGTTGGTAGATTCATTGAAGGAAGACTGAGCTCCAAGTGGTACCTCAAACTGACAGACTTTAGAAAGTAACCATACATTACTGAAGCAGCATAGATCCGACCCAGTTGTAACCTTTTGATTTTAAGTGTGTACATGGTATCCGTGCCTTTCCATCTGAGGATATTTGAAAGATGTTCTCTTATCATTTCTTGGATCTCAGGCCCATGAATAGACTCGAGCTCTTGAACCTTTGATGACCAGATCCCAAGCCTTCCGTCATCGGTACATTTGGAAAGGTTTGGAATCATAGAGACCTTAATTTCATAGAAATTGTGGACGATTAACAAGTACATAACCTCCTCAATGGAAATTTGGCATTCAAGCTCTTTAATTTCTGCTATCCTCCTGGTTTCAAGTTCCAAAAAAGAGAGATAAGGATTGAAGCTTTCAAGTAATGTTCTTTTCTTCTAACATCAAGGAAAAATAATCATGATGTATACATAATTAAGGAGAGAAACCATGTTAAATAATTACACACTAGGTAAAGAAAAATTATGTCCACTGGCTATCAAATGAATCAGACTATTTAATGCCGCCTTCTTTTTTTTTTTTTTTTTTTTTTTTTTATTTTTTTTTTTTTTTTTTGGGGGGGGGGGGGGTTGGTAAGATGAGGATAACTTAGGGTAACTTTGATACGCTAACAATATATTATCAACAAACAGTAATGGGTAAGCTCAGGACTGCCTCCAACTGTGAACCTCTTTCCACATATTCACATGCTAGATATTTGAATTAATGAAAGAATTTAAACAAAATTCTAGGCACAAAGACCAGTGGATGTGGTGAGTGCTATTCCATAGCCCTAGACTCCAAAAGACAATATGAGCATATTCACATTTCGTAAGAGTTTTATTCATTAGAAGCTTCAAATGTTTAAACTATAATTTGGAAAGTTTTTTCAATTGTGGGTACTGTTTCAACACCTAATAGAGCCAAATTGTTAATTGTGGGTTGTTTCAACACCTAATAGAGCCAAATTGTTATAAAACTTGGGCAAAAAAAAAATCTCATATTGCATTTAACACAGAAGATATTATCAAAATGTGTTTTATCCTTGCTATGTTAAGCGTTATTTAACACTTGTTAAATTATGTTAAATTGATGATCAGATTTGGACGCGTGGCAATATCTCCACCGTCTATATTAGTATTAGGTTATCTGACATAAGTTCCCAATTGAATCCCCAACCCCAATTTCACTTGCATGAAAAAACTCCTCTGACCAATTCTCCAGCGCCTCCCTTGTATCCTCCCCTTCCACCTCCTTCTCTCACTCCTTCGACGAAGAAACCTCTCAGTCTCTTCTTCCTCTCGTGCCTTTGATGAAGACGAAGTCTCTCGCTGACGATAAGGCTCTTCTTGTCCTCTATCTCTACTAATGTCAAGGCTCCTCTCTGGTTCCTCCTAGGCTCCCGTCTCTCCTCTCGCTGACGAATAAATCCTAACCCTATCTCCACCTTCAACATCTCTCCAGCTTCTAAATCCAACTCCTTTTGATGAATATGATGTTAGGACTCATGTTTATGAGCCTACTTTTTAATCTAGTTTTGATGATTAACAAACAATTTATAATCTTATTTTCGAGTATTTATGTTTTTCCCAACGTGTATCTAGTTGGGATGAATTTGCGTCTTAACGACGATATTCTAGAGTTGGTGGATATTTGGAATGAAGTCGTCGCGATTCAAGTCAAAGATCCAAGATCGAGCTTCATGCATATCAAGCTTGGGTATAGTATTTTTAAGTTTAGTTGTATACTGTGTGGTTGTACTTAAAGCTCAAATTATTCACATACACACATGTATCGTTTCATATTTTGTGTTTTTTGGATTATAGACTAAATAATACGGTTTTATATCTTTTCTAAAGTCTATCAATCTATTTAAAAGAATCTCAGAACTCGTTTGAAGAAATTTCATCAAAATTGTTTTTCAACAAAACTCGTATTTTGAACTTTTGCAAAACAGCAAGTTTTCACAAATGGGAAATGATATTTCAAAAATTTCTTCTTTAAAATATCTATTCTCATGTATATAAACATTTACCCAAGTTTTACTATTTTGAGAGTTGATTTGTTATTTTTTATTGATTTTAGAAAACCGAGTTTTTCAGCACAATATGTGCTGTGAACAAAATCAGTCGACCGATGCAAATCGACCGGTCGACTGACCAATAGAGTTTTCCAGCGTCTGTTTTTTTTACAGACTTATCAGTCGACTGATCATCTATAATCAGTCGACCGATAATTGTTCATCAGTTGACCGATGATATTCATCAGTCGACCGATAAACAGTCAGATTTCAGTAACGGCTAGTTTTGGGCTATTTTGTTTGTAAGATATTTTAAGTGTGTACATGGTATCCGTGCCTTTCCATCTGAGGATATTTGAAAGATGTTCTCTTATCATTTCTTGGATCTCAGGCCCATGAATAGACTCGAGCTCTTGAACCTTTGATGACCAGATCCCAAGCCTTCCGTCATCGGTACATTTGGAAAGGTTTGGAATCATAGAGACCTTAATTTCATAGAAATTGTGGACGATTAACAAGTACATAACCTCCTCAATGGAAATTTGGCATTCAAGCTCTTTAATTTCTGCTATCCTCCTGGTTTCAAGTTCCAAAAAAGAGAGATAAGGATTGAAGCTTTCAAGTAATGTTCTTTTCTTCTAACATCAAGGAAAAATAATCATGATGTATACATAATTAAGGAGAGAAACCATGTTAAATAATTACACACTAGGTAAAGAAAAATTATGTCCACTGGCTATCAAATGAATCAGACTATTTAATGCACCGCTTCTTTTTTTTTTTTTTTTTTTTTTTTTTTTTGGGGGGGGGGGGGGGGGGGGGGGGGGGTTGGTAAGATGCAGGATAATTAGGGTTAACTGCATACTAACAATATATTATCAACAAACAGTAATGGGTAAGCTCAGGACTGCCTCCAACTGTGAACCTCTTTCCACATATTCACATGCTAGATATTTGAATTAATGAAAGAATTTAAACAAAATTCTAGGCACAAAGACCAGTGGATGTGGTGAGTGCTATTCCATAGCCCTAGACTCCAAAAGACAATATGAGCATATTCACATTTCGTAAGAGTTTTATTCATTAGAAGCTTCAAATGTTTAAACTATAATTTGGAAAGTTTTTTCAATTGTGGGTACTGTTTCAACACCTAATAGAGCCAAATTGTTATAAAACTTGGGCAAAAAAAAAATCTCATATTGCATTTAACACAGAAGATAATATCAAAATGTGTTTTATCCTTGCTATGTTAAGCGTTATTTAACACTTGTTAAATTATGTTAAATTGATGATCAGATTTGGACGCGTGGCAATATCTCCACCGTCTATATTAGTATTAGGTTATCTGACATAAGTTCCCAATTGAATCCCCAACCCCAATTTCACTTGCATGAAAAAACTCCTCTGACCAATTCTCCAGCGCCTCCCTTGTATCCTCCCCTTCCACCTCCTTCTCTCACTCCTTCGACGAAGAAACCTCTCAGTCTCTTCTTCCTCTCGTGCCTTTGATGAAGACGAAGTCTCTCGCTGACGATAAGGCTCTTCTTGTCCTCTATCTCTACTAATGTCAAGGCTCCTCTCTGGTTCCTCCTAGGCTCCCGTCTCTCCTCTCGCTGACGAATAAATCCTAACCCTATCTCCACCTTCAACATCTCTCCAGCTTCTAAATCCAACTCCTTTTGATGAATATGATGTTAGGACTCATGTTTATGAGCCTACTTTTTAATCTAGTTTTGATGATTAACAAACAATTTATAATCTTATTTTCGAGTATTTATGTTTTTCCCAACGTGTATCTAGTTGGGATGAATTTGCGTCTTAACGACGATATTCTAGAGTTGGTGGATATTTGGAATGAAGTCGTCGCGATTCAAGTCAAAGATCCAAGATCGAGCTTCATGCATATCAAGCTTGGGTATAGTATTTTTAAGTTTAGTTGTATACTGTGTGGTTGTACTTAAAGCTCAAATTATTCACATACACACATGTATCGTTTCATATTTTGTGTTTTTTGGATTATAGACTAAATAATACGGTTTTATATCTTTTCTAAAGTCTATCAATCTATTTAAAAGAATCTCAGAACTCGTTTGAAGAAATTTCATCAAAATTGTTTTTCAACAAAACTCGTATTTTGAACTTTTGCAAAACAGCAAGTTTTCACAAATGGGAAATGATATTTCAAAAATTTCTTCTTTAAAATATCTATTCTCATGTATATAAACATTTACCCAAGTTTTACTATTTTGAGAGTTGATTTGTTATTTTTTATTGATTTTAGAAAACCGAGTTTTTCAGCACAATATGTGCTGTGAACAAAATCAGTCGACCGATGCAAATCGACCGGTCGACTGACCAATAGAGTTTTCCAGCGTCTGTTTTTTTTACAGACTTATCAGTCGACTGATCATCTATAATCAGTCGACCGATAATTGTTCATCAGTTGACCGATGATATTCATCAGTCGACCGATAAACAGTCAGATTTCAGTAACGGCTAGTTTTGGGCTATTTTGTTTGTAAGATATATATATAGCCTTCAAGCCTTAGTTCTTCTTATGGATGTTTAATTGAGTTTATACCAGTTTGTTTCAAGTTTATAAGTGTGTTTTTGGTTTGTGCAAAAAGAGTTTCTACAAAGTGGAGAGTCGAAATTTCATTCTTGAGGAGTTTCAACCTCAAAACTTTATCTCTCCTTGTTTAGAGAAGTTTTTTCTAAACTCATTTATCTAGCTTGTTTTTATTTTGATTCTCATATATATTTGCTAGATTTAATTGAGTTTAAATTTTCGTTATTACTCATTGTTTTCCCACACAATCACTTGAGCTTAAGTATTTCACATATTGTATATTTTAGGTTGTGAGAGTGTAACAATTGAGTGAGCTTTCATTTTTGTTCTCATTTGTATTAGAGAACAAAATCATTTATTTGAGCTTATTGTAAGAACACGTTGTAATACACAACGACACTTAGAGGAGTGATTGGGAGAGACCGGGGTCAATTCCAAGATGAGTGGTTTGGTTGTAAAAACCTAGGAAGAAGTAATAATTCCAAGCACTTGATAAATGTGATACGGGTAGGCCAACACTTAAGAGGCGTGTATTGTGGGATTGACAACGTGTAGATTGTAAAAGTTTTCGGTGAGCTTTGAAAACCGATTATGTAGTGATTTTGAGATAGTGGAGAATCTCCTCGAGGTGAGGAGCGGAGACGTAGGTCGAGTGTTAGACCGAACTCCGTGATCATATTGCTTGTTTGTGTTTGGTATTGACGCACTTATTCTTGTGTACATTTTCATATCGCCTATTGTCTCATAGTTTATATCGTCTATTGTTTATTATTTATCCTTACATATCTCATTGTACATCATATTGCTAGGATATTCTTTAATAAGTTTTAATTTGACATTAATATTGGATTAGATTAGCAAATATCTTATTCACCCCGCCTTTAGGGTACTTTCATATGAAGCCTTCTAACTCCCAATTCTCGTAACTCTTTCAATCCTCCTCCATGCTTGAAAATTTTGATTTTTCTAATTATTAAAGTCATTATGAATAGTTTGTATTTATGAAATATCTAAATAACTAATATACAAAATAAATTACGTTATGTGTTATGTTATTTTTTTTTGCGTTTTTCCCCCTTAAACCTTAACAGAAGGTATAACGTTTGGTAATGTGTTATTGTTATTTTTAACATTGATAAGGACTTAGCTTGATTTATTCATTCAAAATGGGTATGACCCATACCAAGCAGCCAGAGGTAAAACCAAACACCCACCTAAACTTCAAGGACATCCATAAAAGATGGTAGCAAGTTGAAATTGTTTATGCAAACAGAGGAGCCAGTATATAGGAGGAGCTAATGATTGCAAGACATTCAGACTAATTCATAGACTAAGATGTCAAAGTCAAGAAATTGTTCATGAAAATAAAAGTTCCCCTAGCCCACTAAAACATTTAGGAGTATTTTATAGAACTTTAATATCAAACAGGAGAGGTGGTGACCTGCAAAAAAGAACTTGCTGAAAACTTTTAATAGCATCTATAATCATGAAAAAGGCAACCTCGACATTAGCAAACTATTGACAAGACAAAAGGTTAGAAATCTCTACTGACCCATGAAGGCATGATTCTGAGGAGCCTGCACTGTGTTCCAAGCGCGCCAAGGCATTATCCCTATCTGTAGCCAATTCCTTCAGCTGCTCTGATGCAGCAACTGAGAAAATATGAGGATGATTCTTCAAAATACCACACAAGAATTTCCCTTCAGGCGTCTGTGGTTCAAGTGGTGTACCTACACTTCTTGATGCATAATCATTAGACTCTGCACAGGCAGTTGTAACCAGTGATGGAGCTCTTGCACAAGCAAAGCTATTACCATGGCAGAATTCAGAAAGACACTGAACAATAAAAAATATTTAGGATTTTGAAGATCACATATAAAATAGCAAACAAAAAAAAACGAAAACGAAAGAAAAAAGGGTTATGTCCACCGTCCAAGTTCTATATGCTCCATAGTATACACATAAGCAAAAAAATGATATTTGTTAATTATTTCTCTATAATAAGTCATTTTTATATGTTTCCCCCCTGATATTGCTCTCTTCTTTCTTTGGTCAATGAAATAATACTTTCCATTTACTAGTTGAACATTATATGTACATCTCTATAATCCGGGCATACTAGAGTAAAACTCTCAATTGCTATAACAGTCTAACTAAAAACAAAACGATAATAAAACTCTCAATTTCTATAACAGTCTACTAAAAACAAAACAAAAAAACTTACTTATCCTAATGTTGCTATCCACTCCCTAAACTTAGAAGAAATATTATAGCATTTCTATGCCATATTGTTAGCACTGAATCCTTAATTCTCTTGATGACCCTTTCTGGAGTTGAAGTTTTATAAGCATGCAACCTGGTATTCCTCTCCAACCAAATCCCACAGACAGAGGCAGATAGTGCCAGTCGTTTAACATCAGCAGCATAATTCCTCCTGTACATGCTCTGAGTAAAGATATGGAAAAACAAACTCCATCTACAACATCTAATCCTGAAACAATTTCAACCCATGATATAATTCCACATTTCAGACGGAAGCACAAAATCAAAGAACAAATATTCTTGAGTTTCAGTAGCATTAGAACATATGCAACAGGAGTCAATAACTAAAGTCTCCATTCTGCATAATCTTCTTGAGTGAGCAATCTTGCTAGAGCAATCAACCAAAGTATAAAAGAGTTCTTTGGTATGTTGAGTTTACCTCATGTAGTATTATGCCATTGAACCCTTTGCCTTGCTAGAATAATATCATGATAGGCCCTAGACAATAAATTTCCCTCCTGCACTCCAGTGCTGTTGTTTATCAATCAGCTCAACACTGGAACCAAAAATACCATTTGCTTTATCTCTAGCATTCAAGGTTTGTTTCCAGGCCCATGTATCATTAAATCCTTTCTGAACAGCCCAAGTATCATCTCTTTATTGGTAATTGTCATGAATCCATTTCATCCATAACAATTCTTGTTGTTAGGACCATGTTCGTATGTGTCTGTACAATTGACTTAGTTTGATGAATAACAAAACTTCGGTCCAATATGTGTTTTGAGATGTTGTATACAGGTTATATGAAGTTAAAATCAAGTTCAGAATTGAAAGCGTAAGAAATAAGTCAAAATCAGCAAAACAAGGCATTATTCATCAATGAGGGGTTCAAGCTCATTGATGAGTATGAGGTCAACAGAGAGCAAAATTGATTATAGGGTCTAGATTATCGATGGGACAACCCGCTCATCGATGGGCCTGGAGCTGTGCTCATCGATGAGCCAACCCACTCATCGATGAGTGGCATTAGGTTTTAGAATTATATTTTGATCTGTATTCTCTCTAAACCATTCGTTACTGAGGCTATATAGGCTCATTCCTCTCTCTTTTTATCAGAGATTCCTAACTTATTTCAGAGCTAAAAAGATAGAGGAAGAAAGAGAGCTAGGGTTTCAACTTTGGTGATTAATTTTGCTCAGGCTTCTCAGAAAGCATCATCGGCATCGTTCTTCATCATCTGATCATCAACCTTCAAGGAGTGTTGGCCTTGGACTTCAAAATCATCGTCATTCTTCTAGATTTCCATAATAAATCAATTAGAGAACGATCTCAATCAAAAAAGACTATAAGATCTTTCCCATTATGCATAATTAATACATGTTACTTTGTTTTAAACTTGCTTTTACGGCATACTCAAGTCAGTGCAATTTGAGGGATTACGACATACTCAAGCCCAGATGAATTGAGAGTTTGCGGTGCACTCAAGCCAGGGTTAATTGAAAGATTAGACGCTAGCTAGGGTCAAGGTCACTCGTGTGTCAAGAGTTAGGTTAGACGACTAGTTTTAGTGAAATTAGAGTTTCAGTCTTTTGAGCCTACTGAATCGGGTATGGAATTTAGGTAATTTCACATGGTGAGGAAGTCCCTTCACGAGAAAGAAGTGTGGATGTAGGATTGTTATCTAAACCACTATAAAAATCTTGTAATCTAGCTGCATTTTTATTTGCTGTTTGTTTATTGCTTATTGTGTTCGAATTGTCATATTTCTGCTACATTATATGTGATATTCGAAACATTATAAGCAATCCTATTCACCCCCTCTAAACTCGCATCTTAGATCCTATTACTTTCCTCGTATGAATATCTCATAACATTTTACAAGATGATGCAGTACTCCAATAAACTGAGGAAAAAATCCCCAATCGTGCATGCTTGTTATCATTACAAATAACATTCTAAGCAACCATGTTGGAGTCATGAGAACACCCCCAAAGAAAGCTTCCACAAATTTCATCCACTCTCTTGAGGCATTATTTGGTAGAACAAAATTAGTAGACCAGGATACTTAAACACCTAATACTATCTTGATCAATTGTAGCCTCCCATTATAAGAGAGTTTCTAAGCTCGCCAACCCTGAATATGAGCAGTTATCTTAGTGATGAGAGCATTACAGTCACTATATGAGTCTCTTACACATCAGTGAGTTTGGCGGATCTCTCTAGCCTCTTGACTAACCCTATCAAAGGACATGGAAGACTTTGAAGGGTTAGTATTAAGACTAGAGACCCTGCTGAAGAAGTTTAAACATTTTTCAAGGCACTTCATAGAACCCATACCAGCCTTTTCAAACATTAGAAGATCATCAACAAAGATTGTGTGGTTCAATGGAGCACATTTAGGATTATATTTAAAAATCCCATTCTGAACAACTTTTAATTTCCTTGATAGGTATTTCATACCAATAACAAAGAAGGAGAGATTACATCTCCTATTCTCAAACCTCTTTTCCCTTGAAATTACCCATGAAATGAGCCATTGAAAACTATAGTAAATTTATGACTAGATACACATGTCATTATCCTCGCTACCATTTTAATAGGAAAACCCAAACTTGAGAGCATTAGCTTGATGAACCTCAAATTAATAGTATCATACGCCTTTTTTATAGCAATAATTATCATCGCATTAGGAGATATAACTTTCCTACTATAATGTTTTACTAAATCATGAGCTAGTAGAGAATTATTGGTGATAATTCTACCCTTGATAAAAGCACTCTAAGCATTAGAAATGAGGGAGCCAAGAACTAATAGCATTCTAGAAGCCAATAGCTTAGAGATGGCTCTAGAAATGAAATTACAGCAGGACATTGGTCTGAATCAGAGGCTAATCAAGGATAAGGCACTTTAGGAATACGAGTAATTGTAGTTGAATTAACCTGACCAAGGATTTTACCTATGTCGAAAAACTCATGCACTGCTCACATCAAGTCATGTCCCAAAATATGCCAACTTTTCTTTAAAAAGTGAGCAGAATAATCATCAGGTCTAGTGGCCTTTTCATAAGCAATAGAAAAAGCGGACTTCTTTATCTCCTCATCCGTAGCAAACTAATTTAGCAACTGAACTTTATCCTCAAATAGGCAAGGCCTTGCTTAAATAATATCATCATCAGGTGAATCAAGATCTAGCGTAGCAGTACCCATAAGACCAGTATAGAAGTTAAGGATTTCTACTACGATAAGCTTATTATCTGTTAACCTCGCCTATTGATCATTATGTAAAGTATATTGGTGAAGTGCCTTCTATGTTGCATTGCAGAATGGAAAATCTTGATATTTCTTACTCCGTGTATATTCCCTTGAACTCTAGAAATCTGCTTATAAGAAGATATTTTGCATTTAATAATTTCTCATATTTTGCCAATAGGATTTTTTCTTGAGAGATAAGCTCAGCAACTTGAAGGTTTGTTAGTAATTTGCACTGGACATCCTGCAAAAACTTATTGACTCTAATAACCTGCCCACTTATATGGCCAAAGTGTATGGTATTAAGCTCCTTCATTTTGTCCATTATAGTTTCTAACTTAGTCACCACACTACATATTTTACACCTCAACTACTTTTCAAGTCTCTACAACCAAATCTAGAAATTTAGGATGATCATCCCTAATCTAAAAGTATCTGAAATGCTTTTTACCCTTCCATATCCTCTTTATAAATTGATATACAACCAAGTGAGTGATCAGAGAAGCCAGAATGAAGAAACTTCACATTACTAGAATACTTATGAATCCATGCTTCATTGACCATTGTTCTATCTATTTTTCTCCATATTCTGATTCCATCCTCTTGCCTATTAGACTAACTGAAAGTCTGAAACAGCACTAAGACTGACTACGGTGTTTGATTTGGCAAGTAACAATGCAATTTTGAAACTCTCTAGTCTCATAATCAGCAACAGTTTCTCCTCCTGCTCTATCATCTTCACTTAGAAGTCCCCACAGACTAACCATGGTAAATTTAACTATCCACCCAATGAATTAACTCTTCCCATGGAGGTTTCCTCCTTTCAAGCAAATTAAAAGCATAAACAAAAGCCACACAGTGAAACTTATCACAATATGGTCATCAGCAAAGAGTAGGACATCATGCAAATATTGAGTTTCCTTACAAATTTATTTACTCGTGTAAATTATACTTGTTTAAGATTAATAATGACAATAAGAATCTCAAAATCCACTTATGAATCTTCCATTCAATAATAAGTAATTATCTGAATTCTGCTCGCATAGTTTTTAGGGAACACAATTTTCTAGTAGTATTATTATTTTAGGTATGAGGTTTAAGTCTCAACTATTTTTTAGTATAAGGACAATGATTAACATTTTTTGCTATAATATTTGCTTACACTAATCAAGGATTTGTGTTTAAATCTTTGTAGAAAAATTGATGTAATATTTGTAATAATTCCAAACTATTATTGGTTCTTTTTGTATATCAATAGTATTTATAACAATAGTTTTTTTCAAGTAGTTTTTGTAGCTATCAATTTGTACATTTTTTACATGTATTAAATTTAATTTCTTGTGGGCTTTGTGCTTTTAGTATTCACCATAAACCAAATTTATTTAAATATATAATTTGTGATTGGTTTTCATCCTGCGAGAAGTTATACTCTAATCCTAATCCATGATGAAGCACAAACATTATTTTTTATGCATTTAGCTCTGATCTATTTCTAAATGTTAAATATATCACTTTGTACATGTATCGGTATCAATTCGATTCAATTCTTGTTGTTAGAAAATAAGTAGTTTGCATATATCCAGGTTACAATGGTATTCTAGTTAGATCTATCTAAAAAAGAAATTTGATTATAAAGTAAATTCGTAAATTTGTTTAAAAGCCAATAAACTGTGGGAAAACATTACCAAATTAGATATGAGCTTTTAGAATTAACAATGACAACAACAAATATTACAATATTTCAAATATATAACTATATAAATTCCATACTTGTATCGGTTATACTTTCTAAACCTTATAAGCATTCATTATCTTTCATTAAAAAGGCTAAACAAGCAAAGGTAGAAGTATGAATAATTATTCGTTGTTTGTCACAAATATATCCATATTCCGCATAGAGATAAATAGATAATTACTCCCTCGGCTCTAGAATTTTGTGCATCCTCTCGGAATGAGCTCATAAGGGTGATGCCGCAGTGGTCTCTCTTGGCACTCTTGACCTCTAATAGTTCAGTCAAATAGTGCCCAAATATTAGAAAACTAATGAGAAACAAGCAGAGACCATGAGTTTTTCTAAGTCATTGTCATATGTAATCAAAATTTGAAGTTTGATATGAGGTGTAGGAAGTGAGAAATGGTAAACTTAAAGAGGAATTAAGAAAAAAATATTTCTAAAACTACTAGACATGAAAAAAAAGCTATACAAAGAGAATAGGAGGGAAGAGAGACACTTTCAAAATGTCAAAAAATATTATATCTCCTCTTCCATGGTGTTTCATTGTATCTCTTGTCAGCATATCTTGAGTAAATCCTTTCCTAAAGAGGAAATAACACACTGATAAAATAGATCACATGTCACAAAACGCGACTTTCTATAGTATATGGAGTTGCATACACTATTGAGGGTCTCTTTCTTAGGAGGGTCATCTACATGTTTCATCTATAACCTTATTATTGCTCAAGGGTTTTATTGCAAGGACATATAGTCTTATATGATCATCATGAAATGGTTGAAATAGTGTTTATTAATAAATGATTTTTCTAACTTTTATGTACTTAAAGGTAAATGTTCCTAGAAAGGTACCCCTCTTGTCAAAGGAGTAAAGAAAGTTTACATAAAGTGAAACATATCACAATATTATCACTAGAAAAGGGTTGAACTTCATGCAAACATTCAGTTCACCCATCAAATTTATTTGCTCGTATAAAGTATAACTGTTTACAATTAATAATAACAAAAACAATCTCAAGTTCCACTTACATATCTCTCATGTAAACTAAGTAATTCTCTAAATCTTACTTGAGAAATTTTGAGCGAACACAACTTTCTATTAATAGCCTAATTATGGTTATGAGGTTAAAGTCTTAGCTATTTTTTACTACAAGGATAATGAACCATTTTTTCTTCATTTGTTTCGCATCAAGAATTTGTGTTTAGATATTCGTACAAAAATTTGATGTGGTATGATAGTAGCACTCTTTATATTAGTTTCTCTTTTCTATATGATTAATTCTTATGATACAATCATTTTTTCGAGAATATTTTAGTAGATATCTGTTCCGACATTTGCATGTATTGAAATTAAGCTTTTGTAGGTGTTGTGCTATCAATTCTGATCACTAACCTACTTTAGCCAAATAAATAGCTTGTATCTATTCTCATCCTAGGCAAGTTATATTTTATCCTTTACCCAATCTGAGGCGCAGATCTTCTTTTTTTATGTTTTTCTTAGCTTTGTTGCACTTTTAAATATTAAAATATATTACTTCGTGTATATATTGATGTATATTCTTTTCGATACTTGTAATAAAAACATGAGTAACTTGCATAAAACTAGGATAACTCTTTGAACAATTTTATGGATAGATCCATGAATGAAATTTGATTAAAGTGAAGTTTTAAAATTTTCTAAGTATTAATTGTGGGTAGACCCTTATACTATAGCCCAATTGTGAATAGACCCCCTAAGTGAACTCTTTTGACTCTTTACAAGTAAAAAAATTCACTCAGTTTCTTTGCATTTGTGCAAATAGTAGAAAGTAATGCTTTGATTAGTTGTTGCTTGTTAGTTTATGTTTGAGTCTGTATGAGTGTTTAAAGTAAATGTGGTAGTTGGGCTATGTGGGAGTCACATGTTTGTAGTTGGTAGGAAGTGTCACATGGATGGCTACGATGTAATCCCCAATTGAGTTAGGATTAAATTGGTTTCTCATTGTAATTTTCCTATATGGAGAAATAGAAAAACAATTTCTTCCTCAATTTCTCTAAACTCTCATCACCTTCACCAACCTCTCTACCAAATACCAATCATCCAAATCTCTCATTGTGGGCTTAATCAAAGTGAATTGGTATTAGAGCTTAGGTGGATCATCTTCATTGGGTTTGAGCAAAGGAGTGTAAAAGAACCCCTTCAAGAAGAAGAGGCCCTAGAAAGGGAGTTTGATGCCAGTTCCAATACTATGGGTATGAATAACAATATACCCTCTATTCCTATTTCGATGGTGCAAATTATGATTACCGGAGCATCAAGATGAAAACCCTATTCATCTCATAGAGATTTAGGATTTGCTAGAGAAAGATTGAGGAACCCACCGCATCAACAACTTCAACCCATAACGAAAAGGAGAACAAGAAGAAAGATGCAAAGCCTTGTTGTGAATCCAACAAGCGATGTCGGAGAAGATTTTTTCCAAGGTGATCATCCTGATAAATTGTTCCTCTAATCGAGCAAAGTGATCATCTAGAAAGGACTCACAAACAGAGATTGCGACACTGAGTATAGAATCGATAGCATTGTCATGCTCTGACACAAATTACCAAGTCTTACTACAATTTATTTTTCCTTTACCTCTCGCCATAACGATTTTAAGAAGTACTTTGTTTAGGAATTTTTGAGGAATTTCATTAGAATTTCAAATCTTGCAATTTCCATCTCTTGTTGATTTTATATAGGGTCAGCTGCACACTCCGCTAGCAGACAAAATGTCAGATAGCCAGAAGAGCTCATTCGGTTAGGGATTAGTTGGTTGTAACACCCTAATTGCAGCATAACATTAGCGGTAACTATAAATGGCAGTTTATCGTGGGAGTTACTCAGACAGACATTCATGTTTGGTTTCTCTCCTGCATATAAGATAGATGTCTGTGGTCAGCGTGACCACCCAATTTGCTAATTCCATTCATCTTTCAACACCAATCCAACTGAGCATTTGTCACTCTCCAAGCCTGCAAGCTCGTTGGTGCAATGTAAGCCTTAGGACAGACTGAGTGCAATGCGTTATCAAGTTTGGTTCAAACCGCTGTCATTTTTTTCCCTAGCCATTGACATTAGATTCCATGACCTACTTATCAACTCATCCATCCTTTTGTAAATTACCGACGTGGGACAATGAATGGGACAGCACAGTATTAATCTGTGTACTGATATATTCTGACATCAATGGTTTCTGCCCAGGTTGAATTTTAACAAGGCGTAGCCCGGAAAATTTTCTCTTCCTTAAGATCCAACGTGTGAATTGGAGTGGTCGCTTCCATCTAGAATACCAAAAAAACTTCCTAACATTTCTTAATTTTCCTTACAACTGATAAGCTACTACTATTTTAAATTCCTACCATTTCCAAAGCAACTACGAACAATTGCATCAAATAGCCCCGATATCATGATTCTAAACCAGCAATCAGAAATAAAGTTCTCCATTTCAAATTTAGTTTAATAAGAAAATAGAATCATAAAAGAGCTCCTTAAAACATCGCAAAGAGAAATTTTACGGGATGAAAATAGGAAAAGAACCTGAAATCCCAAAGGTGGAGGATGAAAGGGGCCCAAAGATTCGAACTTTCTGAAAGACGATCGGTGCTGGAATCGAAACCCTGCACCTTGAGATCTCACCGCAGACGCCGACTTAGCGCAGATGGGGCTGGCTTTGAGGCTGAATTGGGCACAGCAATCCATCAATCCAAAACCCTAATCAGATAGATGTTCTTTGTTTTTCTCTAGTCGCTTCTCCGAAATGATGAAGTAAACCTTAGTAACCTTGTTTATCTTTGGTTTGACGAGAATGAAAACGCCAGCCGAGTCAGACGGAGATAAGAGAACGTTGCTGACTCACCTCATCCACAACCACATTCGCCTGCTGCCACCACGGACCCAAATCTTAAAACAAGTTCGATGCTCTTGTCCATGGTAATTTTTTGAGGTTTTTTTCCCTTTGGATTGGAAACCAATCTTATATTTATGGTCAATTTATAGAAATCATTTTATATTTTTCAACCTATATCAACATTATTTATAAGATTTATTTTTCTCCCAGTCAACCAATTGACTTCATATTACTTATTAGGGAAAAATGTTTCAAGGCCCCTAAAAAAGAAATGGGATGTGGCCTAGCCCCACCAATTATCTTCCTTAGCCTTCAGCCCCCAAAAATAGTGAAAATTGTGGCCCAGACCCAAAAGCCCATACGTATACATCTAGTGGGTGTATTTTGTTGCTACCTGCCTAAAATGCCCTCATCTCTCTCACAAAAAACCGTCTGAATGGGTTCTCTTGTTCCCTGATCTCTCCCAACGCATTTTTGGCGAAGCGACGGGGGAAAGCGGGGGGAAAAAGCGTGGGCTCCCGCCATTACTGTCTGCTTCATCATCCTTTGTTATAAATTGGTTAGTTTTATCTCTCACTCTCTCATTAATGAAATTAGGGTTTTTTTCTTCAACTGTCAACAACCCTTTTGCACCTGAAATCCCCTCAATTACTCCTCAACTCCTCATAATTGCCTTCATAACTGTCCTCATAACTTTCAACCACCCCTAATGGCCGCCAATGACTTGATTTGCATAGTGTCTTTAGGCGAGAATGCCATATTCGTGAAGCTAAGTTCGACAACAAGCTTTTATGAACTCCAATTTGATGTGTGTGAAAGATTGAAAGTACCTAAAGAAGTTTTATCCTTTATATTTAAATCTGAGAGGCACCCCAACCTCAGTTTTTCAGTTGACAACGATGATGATTTGAAGTGCATGTTGGATCACAATCGAAATATTGGTTGTACGGAGATTCACATGCAAGCTGCTGTTAATGTAGAGTTTTCCACTTCAAGGAAAAATCAGATTAGGGAAATGTAAGTAATTAATGAACTCTTTATAACATTGGGTTTTGTGTGATGTAAACATTGTTATTTTTTTCTTCAACTTTCAACCATCCCTTATGGGCATTAAATCCCTCAATGTAAGTTATTATTGATTTGTAAGTAAACAATGAACTCTGTCAGGAACAGGTCTATGTGTGATGATAAGCCAATTGTGATTTCAGGTTTCGATGCTAACTTGGGAAAAAATAGTTGTCATCTCTGATGGTTAGATGTTAACTCTTCATCTTATAGGTTAATTTTCCAAGAGATATGTTAACCTTTACATGAACATGTTAATTGTCGTGGGAACATGGTTAATTTTACACCCAGTTAGTTAACTTTTGTTGTACTATGTTAAGGTTTACGGAAAATGGTTAATTTTACACCCAGTTAGTTAACTTTTGTTGTACTATGTTACCTTTGGTCCTACTGCTGTTAACTTAAATTATCAGAAGATAATATAACATATTGTGCATGATATCTCACTGGTTGATTAATTTGTGCAGTAGTGATGCCTCTTTGAATGAAGAATATAGTCGTCCTCCTCCAGAAAATGCATCCAATTCAGAGAGAATCCAAAATAATTTCCCGTCTGGTGAGATTGTAATGAGAGCTGATGATATTCTCAACAACACTTCCAGCATTCCTCAATGGTGGCACACAGCATTAACTAAAAAGGGGCAACAATTTGAGACTGTAAACGAATTGAGACTAGCTTTGCAGTACTATTCCATGGCGAAAAAATTTAACTATGAATTTGTAAAGAATGAACCCAAACGTATCCGAGTATGTTGTCGATATAAGAAGACATATGGATGCCCTTGGATGCTCTTTGCATCTCCTGTTAAGTATGGTAAAAGAATTGAAATCAAAAGGTTTGTGAATGAACACAGTTGTGGACAACATGCTAACTTGTCAGGGCAATCACGGGCATCTCGGAAATTCATAGCAGCCCAATTGCGACAGGTATTAAAGGCGCGATATGAAATCCGACCAATTGATGTGCAAAAGGAGTTCCTCACTCGATATGGATTGAGACTTGAATACAGTAAGATATGTTTGTTTGCGGTGAAAGTTGATTTCTTCATTGCTATCGAATCTATTACAACTTTAATCGTTACAATAAACTCGAATGAAATAAAAAGTTGATCTTTTTATAAGATCTCCTTACACAATGAAAAGAAAAAGTTTACAACTTTATCAAACTAACGCAGAGATCGTTTATCGGTCTTCTGCTTGCGTGGGATCTTTGCCTGTGCCGGGGTTTATCCGTGGACCACCGTCGATCAGATCTGATTGCTGAAGAATTGGGCAGAGCTTCGTCTATCCGCGAAGGGATCGAGAAAACTGTAGCTCTTATCTCGGCGAAGCGAGATAATCACTCTTCTTAAGATTACCACAATGGGATAATCCTAAGGAACGGATCCGGGAAATTGTAGATCTGACAAATCTCTCTCTCTTGCGTTGAAGAACTCGATCCGATCTCTCCTCCTCCTCTCTGAAATCTGTGCACTTTAAGTCTTCAATCCGGCAGGGCTTCGCCGAGGCACGAGAATTCCAGATCCGAAAAAATGAGGGCCTGAGCTTGTATTTATAGGCTTCCAGGAGGTCCGCGCGGTTAAAACTGATCGAAAACCGTCAAAAACACGTCCCAAGTGCGAGACAGCTCGGGGTGTCTCGCACCTGTGCGAGACAGTTTGTACCCTCTTCAGTATTTTGGCTCTAATTCTTTCATCCGAACTCGGCTTTGAGTGATTCAAGATGTGTTGGAAAGCTGACAAAGAGATCTACAACTTTTATGTTTTGAGTTTCTTTTGATTCTAACCGAATCATGGCCAAAAGTTCTCCACAAGGTCCGAGACACCTTTGGGTGTCTCGGCGCTATTTTGATCATAAATTCCTCATATGACCTCCAAATGACCTGATTCTAGATGGGTTGGAAAGCTGACAAAAATATCTACAACTTTCATGTTTTGAGTTTCTTTAGATTCAAAACGAATCATGGTCAAAACAGCTCGACAAGTTCCGAGACACCTTTGGGTGTCTCGGCCAGGTCCGAGATACCTCGGGTGTCCCAGTTCAGCCTGAGACGTTCCGTTATGCCTGTTTGTTCGTTTTCGCCGTAACTTCTTCATCCGAACTCGGATTTGAATGATTCAAAGTGCGTTGGAAAGCCAGCGAGGAGATCTACAAGCTCCAATGATTGGATCATTGTGGAGTCAACTAGGACACGAGGGGCATTGCGCCTTTTGTAAGCGACGCGGGGCTCCCAATCAATTCGTATCCTCGTTATTCTGAAACTTCGTTGCTTCACATAGTTCGCCGATTCACTTCAAGCATTCGTCGATGTCAATCAAGCTTCTGTGACTTGGATAGTGACGTTCGTCATCTTCTCTTAGCTTTGAGCTTTTCGTGGAGACCTATAGGTAATTTTCAACGCCTACAGATACCCCCTCCAAAGCGTTCCAGTCTCGTTTCTTTTATAGAAGAGGCTGAAATACTTTGGATATGATTGGTCCAGCCTTCGGTCAGTGTAAAGGACCTGCAGTTAGCTTCAATTCTTGACTCCTTCGATTTTCAGTCTATTCGATGCTTTGACGAATAGCTGAAGTCCTTCCGGCGCCGCGTTTATCGTCTGGCCGTCGTCGAAGTCTCAAATCTAAAACTGATGAGTTGAGTTTGGCTCGTGTCATCGAGTTGACTTTGAACTGACTATCTCCGTCGCATCGACTCTTTGATCGCAATGCGTTGACTGGCGTTGACCTAGGGTTAGGCGTTGACCGGCGTTGACCCTAGGGTTTGGGACGTCATACGTTAACTTTTTGATCGCAACACGTTGACTGGCGTTGACCTAGGGTTACACGTTGACCGGCATTGACCTTAGGGTTTGGTACGTCGTACGCTGACTTTTTGATCGCAACGCATTGACTGGCGTTGACCTAGGGTTACGCGTTGACCAGCGTTGACCTAGGGTTTCGGATCACCATTAACACAGTTTATACTCGTGCATTTGCTGGAGTATACACAGTTTAAGCTCTTAAGGTATTGGAGCGTGGCGGTCCTAAATGTCGGAGTTGCAGGACCAACTATGAAAGTTGATTCCTCTGCACGTGTGGATCTTATCCCTAAGTGATTGGATCTTCGAGTCACGAAACCAACTGACGGAGCTGATGCGTCAATGACTCGTATTTATAGAATTTTTGGCAAATTCTCAGCCATCAACGGGTTTGATGAGCCTTTACCGACTACCGTTTGAGTCGGGCTAGCTTGCGGATTGTTTAAGTCCGTTCCGCATGTGACGTTAAGCTAGAAGAGTTAACCCTTTTAGTGTAGCGCTACGATGTTGAATACGTAGACTTCGTCTTTCTCCTGTGAAAAGACTAAACAGCAACGTGTATCGACGTTGACTTAGGATTTTTGGCAAATCCTTAGCCATCAACGGATTTGATATGCCTTTACCGACTACCGTTTGAGTCGGGCTAGCATGCAGATTGTTTAAGTCCGTTCCGCATGTGACGTTAAGCTAAAAGAGTTAACCCTTTTAGTGCTACGATATTGAATACGTAGACGTCGTCTTTCTCCTGTGAAAAGACTAAACAGCGACGTGTATCAGACGTTGACTTAGGATTTTTGGCAAATCCTCAGCCTTCAACAGATTTGACGTGCTCTTACCGATTACCGTTTGAACGGGCTTACATGCGGATTGTTTTAAGTCCGTTCCGCATGTGACGTTGTGCTAAAGGAATGAACTCCCTTAGACTTGATGCTACGACTTCGAATACATAGACTTCACCATTGTTACGGGAATAGGCTACCCGGCAACACGTGTTAGGCGCTGACTTATCCTTACTTAGGATTCAGGATAAAAGTCCCCAGACTCGGATTCTGGTGTCTTTTTCAATCGGTAAAAGACTAAACCGGCAACGCGTGTTAGGCGTTGGCTTATCCCTGCTTAGGCTTCGGGATGAAATTCCCCATGCGTGTGAGGCACGATTATGGTGTTATTAATAACAACCTACCACAATGTTGAATATGTGGTCTTTTGTCCTTT